TTTTTTTTTTTTTTTTTTTTAGTTGGTTCTCAGAATGAACAGCAAATGGGGAATAATCATTTTGATTTTTTATTCTTTCCCACATAGTGGCTGAAGTTAGCCTATACAGCTAAATGCATTTCTAGGGACTACAGTCAATTTACAGTTGAGATAAATCTGGCCCATGATTTTTTTTGCACAGTAGATATGAACATTAGCATGCAATGCACTATGTCATGTCGGTGGTGTATTTGCATTTGTGGCTTTGCAACCTCTTGAAAGTGTAAGTTTGCTTTACTACTGAAGCTAGTAGAGTAAGCTTCCCACAATCTGCTGTGTTAGCAATTTCCTCTTTCCAATTAAGAAAAAAAAATGTAATATACAATATGTAGCATGCGTTTAAAAATAGTCAACTAGATATCTGGAAGGTATAAAATACAGAGGTCACTGTATAGACTGACATGAGGTGAAAAAGGGCAAATCACATTAGAGGGATTTCAGGTTCTCTGGCAGTATAAGTAGGCATAGATCCATTCAAATCAGCAGAACTGTACTAACTTAATTCCTCTGGCAATCTGGTCCAGAAACTTTAATCATGGTTTATGTTACTGTGTATTTTTTGAAGAATTGAATACTTTGAGCATGCTTTGAAGTGCCTTAGCTAATTTCTGTATTGCTAGTGGGGTTTGAAAAGATGAATGAAACAGTGCTTAAGCTTTCTATAGTGTGAAAATGTGGATTCTGAATTTTCCCTGGGGGTTGCTATGCTTGTTGTAGAAACAGTGGAGGCCCTGGTGTAGACGGGGCAGATTTTTTAACACAGTTTCCACCACAGTTGCTGTTGGTGGAAATGCATAAAAGGTAAATAACAGATTTGAATTATGCAGTGAAGATCCATCTCTATTACTTAGATTAGGACTATTTTCTATATATTGTTTTCATACTTTCATAGATGTTAGGGTCTGGAAGGGACCTTACAGATTATCGGGTCCAGTCCCCCTGCACTTGGGCAGGAAAGACTGTTTTCATAGTATATTAAAAAAACTAGGACCTAAACATTAACTGCCAGGGCAGCCACCTTCATAGTAGCACCAGTGTGGGTTGTCTTGTACTCAAAGTACAGGTCTTTTTATTTCTGTGGCTTTAGAATTAGATGCTTGTGGAGCTGGATCCCCCAGGATTTGAAGGAGACTAGGGGTACTCCCACACAAAGAACTGTCTTCCTTTAGCTATTGCACTCAGACTCCTTCAGGTTAGGTTTGCTAATGCAGGGGAAGTAATTTATTACTTCTCCAGCCTCCAAGAAACTTCCCCTGCTGTCTCTAGGGGAAATATGTACATCCCAGTGACCTTCATGGTTTCACCCAACTGGACGAAGAAGCCCGACTCCTCCCAATTAAAGTTTGAGGATCTCCTCCAGAATGGATATGTTGGCAGAATGCCCAGGGCTAGTATACGAGGTTGTTATTAGGGTGTCACTTTGATTTCATGAGGGAGAGGGTGACCCTGCTGTTCTTTGCAGCATCTAGCTGGCTAATCAGGAACGGAGCCCAGTTCAGCTTCCCTGAGCAAAATGATGAGAGACAGGAGGTTAGGTACAATAGCTACTCTAAGAAAACAGCATTTATCACCCACGGTAGTTAAATTTGCCACAGCATTTATGGCATAGAGCTCTCTTCCTAAGCAGATATAGCAAGTATCATGGTAAAGTTGAATATTAAGGTACAATAAAGATTGATTAAGAGCTTTCACTGAAGTCATGGACTTCATGACAAAGATGCTTAAATATGGATCTCCAGCTGCCAAGATCCTGGATTTCAGGAACTGAGCAAAGTATTTCAGCCTGCAAGATCTGAATCTGGTACCAGTCAGAGACATATGACCGTCTGGAAGGGAGGTACCTTCAAAAAACAAATATTTAAAAATATTGCCTAATAGAGGAACAAGAATAACAAAGCTAAGATCTACTGATAGTGATCTCTTGACTATTACAGTGTTTGTTTAGTATTTCTCTGGAGTCTGATGTATTGATTCACGTTTTTTGAGTTACTGAACATGACACTTTAAATGTGTTGTTGCATTTGCAGCTCAGAATTGATTCTTTTCCTGAAGAAATTCACAAGGTCTGTGGGGGATCAGAGTACTAAAGGGAAGTATAAACTTCCTGCAAAGGAGGTACTGACTAGGAAAATAAATTAAACTGAGAGATTCAGATTTGGAGGATGGCAGGAGTTTAAAATCGATGCCTAGTACCTATCCTAAATGCAATAAAATAAACGTGGGAAGAGGTCTGCCACAGTTTAGCAGCCATGATTGCACAGGCATGGAGAGCTCTTCCCAATAACATAAGAAAGAATTCTATTATGATGAATATCCTCCCTCCCTCCCATACATACAGTTTTTTCTTTATCCCTCCTGGTCTTTCAGAGCTTCTTGTCAACTCTGATGAATTCTGTGTGAAAGGCTCCAGCTCCTATGGTGAAGTGAGATCTGTTAATGGAAAGGTTTTATGCAAGGTGGAACACGTCTCCTTGATGCATGATAGTTGCCATGTCACTAATGTAGGCTTTGAGACTGCAGGTCCAAGTGTAATTTGTTCAAATCAAATAAAGTGTATTAGTCTTGCAGTACTCACATTGTGCATTGCTTAATTTCAGGCAGACAATGTAATCCATCCCTCATGTTTCCTAGGATCATAGGAAAGTAGGGCTGGAAGGGACCTCACAAGGTCATCTAGTTCAGGCCACTGCTCAAGGCAGGATCTCCCCTGACTAAGCCATCTCAGCCAAGTGTCCATATAAACTGTTCTTGAAAACTTCCGGGGATGGAAATTCCAGTTCCTCTATAAAATCTGTTTAAATGCTTGACCACCTCATATAAAAAATGTACTCCCTAATCTCCAAACTAAATTTCCTCTGTCACAACTTGTGGCTATTGCTGGTGTTCTGTACTCCATAGCCACAGAGAAAAAACCATTTTCATACTCTCTATAATCACCCTTCAGGTATTTGAAGACTTTTATCAACCGCCCCCCACCCCCCCCTCCAGCCCCCCATCTTGTCTTTTTCAGCACTGGCAGGGTGCACAGCTGGGCGAAGAGCTGCTTCAGGGCTGAGATCTTGTGGCAGTGACAGCATGGCCCAGAGCTGGGACAGAGCTGTGATCCATTGCCTATATAACCCCTGGCAGGGGTGTGCAGGCAGTAGATGGCAGCTCTGCCCCATCTCTGGACCTTGCTGTCACCACTGCAAGATCCCAGCCCCAGCCCTGGAGCAGCTGCGCTCCCTGCCAGCGCTCCTGGAGTCTCTGACTCCATGGAAACCCTGGCTGGCACTGCCATGGCTTAGCCACTACTGGGGTCACCATGGAAACTGACCATAGCTATATGGATTGGGGCTGCTGGTAAATGGAGTTAGCCCATCAACCGGATCTGCCATTTTGCCCACCCCTGCCTTAGACCGTGCTAAATCTGTAGACTAAGGTCAACTAAAGTTAAAACATGGTGTGAGGTTAAGAGTTAACACCACTTCTCACCTGCAAAGCTCTGATTTGCTACTAGGGGGCTGGTAACTAGCCAGGACACCTCCCTGCTCTGGGTAGGGGGAGGTGGGGGCTGGGAGCAAGGCATCCTGGGATGCTGGAGGATTACAAAATTGCTCCTTCCATCACTTTGGAGCAGGCTGAAGTTACCATGTTTCATGGTGTATAAATCGAGGTTTGAAGCCAAATTATTCACCCTTAAATTTCCACCTTGACTTATACACTGTGCTACTGCCAGCTAGGGGCTTCCCCGGCCAGGCTCCTGCCTCCTCCCCTCTGCCCCTGCCTGGAACCAGGCTGCGCCCAGACCCTATACCTGGAGACACTTACCCACGGTGCTTGCTGGGCAGGAAGTGAGCGGGCAGGCACAGAGTGGAAGCAGCAAGCAGCGCTTGCTGCTCTCCATGCCAAGCAGCCCAGCTGCCCACTAGGGTTGCCAACTCTGTTTGAATCTATGCCAGGAGGTTTCATGCAGTGGCGACACATAGGAGGTGCACGGGGGTGCACATGCATCCCTCACAGCCAGCCCTCCCCAGTTAGGTGACAAGCACGGAGGGCAGGCGGGAGTGCCGGCCGGTGCCCCCTTGAAAGTGCTGGCCGGGGAGTGGGAGCACCAGGATTAGTGTTGCTGGTACTTCTAGGTTGGCCCCCTCTGGTCAGTGCAATGGCCGCAGGGAGACCCCTGGGTCGCTGACTGGCTGCTGGGGGCAAGTGCCCCCCCCCTGACTCAGGAGGCAACAGCTGCCCATGGTTTCAATCACATGATGTAATGATATTAATGATTTTATGTCAGGAAGGCAAAGGCACGTTACTTTTAGGACGCTTGGAAAATCCACTGGACAACTGTAGAAATCAGATTCAACCTTTCATCTTTATTTTAATGAATGCCCTATTC